CAAACTATTCGCAAAATAAGGACTCATGGTCATGCTAGACACCAATGTATAGATACTCGTTACCATGCCTATACATCGTACTCGACAATCAACAAGTAGCAAATAAGAGCCAACTCCTATTCTCTCAAGCTAGGGTTAGGCCAAACACTTACCTCGATGCCTTGAACTCAACTCAAGCCTCAACTATAGCTTTACCCCGTGATTCCACCTCCAATCCGCTCGAATCTAGTCACAAGTTACTCAATTGCTTTAATAAACACTAAATGAATCAATTTGAATGCATAAAAATGAATTTCCCAAAGTTTTCCCAAAAATTCCAAAATCACCCCCGGGCCCACTTGGTCAAAACCCGAGGTTCGAACCAAAACCCGGTTACCCATTCCCCCACGAACTCAAATATGTAATTTCTTTTGAAATCGGACCTCAAATTGAGGTCCAAATCCCAAATTTTTGAAAAACCTAGGTTCTACCCAAAACCCCCAATTTCACCCATGAAAATCTTTGATTTTAAGGAGAAAACATGTTAAATGATGTTAATGAATGAAAGAACTGAGTAGAAATTGACTTACAAATGATTTGGGATGAAACTTGTTCTTGAAAAATCGCCTAAGGAGTTGTATTTTGAAAGTGGGGTGAAAAATGGCCTAAAATTCGACTAAGTATGAAAATTGCTGAGCTGCAGATATGGGAATTGCGAACTGGGTTCGCAATTGCGAACCCTGCAGGCATGGAAAATGTGACATTACTGTTCGCATTTGCGAACTCAGGCCTATCAGGGGCCCTTCGCATTTGCGAATAAAGTCTCGCATTTGCGAATAAAGTCTCGCATTTGCGAGCCCTTGACCTTCGCATTTGCAAGGCATGGCTTCGCATTTGCGAGGCATGGATTCGCATTTGCGAACATTGGAAGACCTGGGCTGGTTTTGCATTTGCGAACCAGCCTTCGCATTTGCGTGAGCTGGACCTTCGCATTTGCGAATACTAGCTTCGCAAATGCGAAGCCTGCAGATCAAAGATACCAGATTTTTCAAAAATGCAAAAATGCAATCCGACACCTATCCAAAACTCACCTGAGCCCTCGGGGCTCCAAACCAAATATGCACACAACCTCAATAACATCCTAGGGACTTACTCATGCGATCAAATCGCCAAAATAACATCAAAACAACGAATCAAACCTCAAAATCACAAGTTTTTCCTCAAACCTCATAAACTTTCAAATTTAGAGTTTTAAGTCCGAAACACGTCAAACGACGTCCGATTTCAACCAAACTTTACAGAAAGCGCTTAAACCATATATAAGACTTGTACCGAGTGCCGGAACCAAAATACGGGCCCGATACCACAGTCTTTTAGTCAAATTTCATTTTTATTTTTCTTAATCATTTCCAGAAAATAATTTCACACAAAAATTCATTTCTCGGGCTTGGGACCTCGGAATTCGATTCCGGGCATACGCTCAAGTCCCATATTTTCCTACGGACCCTCCGGGACCGTCAAATTACGTGTCCGGGTCCGTTTACCCAAAATGTTGACCGAAGTCAAATTTATTCAATTTATATCAAAATTTAGCATTTTTCTCATAGAATTCATATTTAAGCTTTCTGGCTACGCGCCCGGACTGCACACGCAAATCGAGGCAACCCCAAATAAGGTTTTCAAGGCCTCAGAAGCACAGAATGAGTAAGGAAGCAAGTGATGACCCCTTTGGGTCATCACATAATAATACTGCAATAATATTATTTGTAAGCATACACACGAATTGGCTTGAGTCATGCTAGGCACTGTCCTAAGAAACTATTTCAGCAATGTGAAATGTTTCCCCAGGATTAAACAAGCCCATCTCTATTTATTTAGAGGATACAGGAATCAGCAAAATCAAATGTTACAAACCCAGCTATTTAAAGAGGAAACAAAGCAAAGTAGACTATAAATATTTTAAGGAGGAAGAAAAGGAACGAAAGAGGCAAAGTGAAAATTGTGCTGATACATGATGGCTATTTGAAGGCCTATTTATAGGCTAATTGAGGCTTAGGGCATGCCAAGTGTATGACACTTGTTTTGAACTTCCCATGCAAGTTGCCACATGTTTTGAACTTCCCATGCAAGTTGACACATGGTTGAACATTGTCCATTTTTGAAAAATATCACAACAAGGAATATACTTTATAATGTAATTGTAGTATATGAATTGGTGAAAGGTTATACACAGAAATCAGTGTCTTCCAAATGCATAATTAAAGTTGACATAAGAAAAGCATATGACTCGGTGGAATAGAGCTTTTCACTGCAGCTGCTTCTTGAGTTTGGTGTACCACACAGGCTGGTGAATTTGATCACGGAGAATATTAGTACAACGAGCTACTCATTATTAGTTAATGGAGGTCTGACACCTAACTTCTCAGCAAGAGAGGGACTCAGGCAAGGCGATTAAGTGTCACCTTACCTCTTTGTGCTAGTGATAGAGTATTTGAACAAGTCTTTGAAGAAACTGAAATAGAATCCTAACTTTAACTTACATCCCAAGTGCTTAAAATTGGACCTTATCTATATATGTTTTGCAAATGACTTTTACTGTGTTGTAGAGCTGATAGAATTTCTTTAATCTCATGCTGCAGCAATTTGAACACGTCTCTGCTACATCATGTCGCAAAGCTAACATGGAGAAAGGCTCATAATACGTTGTAGAGGTCTCTTCTGATTTTAAGGATTAGATACTGGAGGAGCTTCATTTCTCCCTTTGTCCTTCATTATTCAGATACTTGGGAGTCACATTGTCATCAAAGAAACTTATTGTATCCCAATGTATGCCTGGTGGAAAAGATGGTTTCTAGAGTTAGATGCTGGTCCTCTAAGTTTGTTTCTTATGCATGCAGTCTACAACTAACTAAAAGTATACTATTTGAGATACAAACCTACTGAAGAAATTTTATTTGGTGTGAGACTCTACCATTGTCAGTCGTATGAGGTCTTCACCGCCTGCAAGTGTATTTTGGGGCCCATGACTTTTTGTTGATTTCCCGTTCACTCTTTCTTCTCTCCTCATTGTAACCCCAAAATAATCTTTCTTCCTTCTTCCTTATTTTCATTTCATGAGGACACTTACTGCTCCCTGCCCCAAATCAATTCTCTTCCTCCCTTTATGTTTTCGTAATTCTTTTCCTCCTTTGCTAAATTCTGTTTCTACTTCTAGCACTTCAAACTGGTCTTTTTCCACTTTAGTTTTCTCATCAACAATTTTACTCACAAGTGACAAAATCACAAATGAAAGAGATGAAATCGAGCTCAGACGAGCTCCAATAGTGGAAGATCAGAACCCTAGCTAAGAGAGAAGAAAGAGCTAAGAAGCTTCGAGAAATCTATGAAGCATAACTGGGAAAAATGTAAATGAATATTCCATCTTACAAAAATGTCCAAACACTCTATATATACACGTGACTCTCTCACTCACTCACTTGACAGCTGTCTACTAACTCTAATAACAACACCACTAACTAATAACAACTAACAACTACTAATAATACTAACTAACTGGAAAAGAACTAAGAGGAAAAGAAGAAAAGAATAAATACAAGAGATAAATGTATAACTAATCTCAATACCCCCCCTCAAGTTGGAAGGGAGGAATGTACTGCCAACTTACTAAGTAGGTCTGAATGTTTTATTCCAGTTATGGACTTAGTGAAAATGTCTGCGAGTTGGTCGTTGGTAGATACATGATGTAAAGAAATTAGTCCCTCTTGCAGCTTGTTTCTGACAAAGTGGCAGTCCACTTCTATGTGTTTTGTGCGTTCACGAAACACTGGATTTCTGGCTATTTGCAAGGCAACTTGACTGTCAGAAAACACTAGAATGGGAAGATTCATGGGTACAGTTAACTCTTCAAGAAGTGTAACCAGCCAAACTAGTTCACCCACAACTTGTCTAGCTGCTCTATACTCTGCTTCAACTAAAGATAAAGATATGGTGGATTGTTTCTTTGATTTCCAACTAATAAGACTGTTTCCAAGCAGCACAATGTAGCCACTGACTGACCTTCTAGTCTCAGGGCATGCTTCCCAATCTGAGTCACAAAAGGCTCTTATTCCAAAGTCCTTGCTGTTGGAAAAGAATATCCCCAGGCTTGGATCACCCTTCAAATATCTCAGACATGATATGCAACTTTCAAATGGGCTTCTCTAGGTGACTGCATGTATTGGCTAAGATGCTGGACACTGTAGGATATATCAAGCCTTGTATTTGTCAAGAAATTCAGCTTCCCTGCCAGTTTTTTGTAATTGGAAGGGTCAATCAACAATGGACTCTCATCTGCCTTCAACTTTGTAGAAGGATCAAGGGGTGATGTTAGGCTGGAATATTGAGGACACTCAAACTCTTTCAGCAGATCCATAGTAAACTTTCTTCGGGATATCAGCACTCCATCTTCCTTGTATAGCACTTCCATTCCTAAGAAGTAGTGTAACCTTCCTAAATCTTTTATCTTGAAAGTTTCATGCAGGAAGCTCTTCAAAGAATCAATCTCTTCCTGGTGAGTCCCTTTTACAATAACTTTATCTAGATATACAGCCACAAACACCACTAAAGGTCCCTTCTTTTTGTGAAATAATGAGTAGTCCAACAGTGAGTGTGTGTATCCTTTGGAACATAAAGCTGCAGTCAATTTCTCATACCAATGGCCTGCTTGCTTGCTTGAGTCCATATAGAGACTTATTCAACTTGCATACTAAACCTGGCTTGTCTACTACTAGGCCCTGAGGCACCTCCATGTATACTTCCTCATGTAGAGCTCCATGAAAGAAGGCATTGTTTACATCTAATTGAAACATCTGCCAACCCTTCTTTACAGCAGTTCCTATTAGTGCTCTCACAGTTGTCATTTTTACAACAGGTGAGAATGTTTATGTGTAATCTATCCTTGCTTTCTGTGTGTATGCCTTTACCACTAATCTAGCCTTAAACCCCTCAACACTACTATCAGACTTGTATTTTATTTTATATACTCACTTACACCCTACTGCACTCTTACCAACTGGCAATGGTACATGACTCCATGTATTGTTAGCAATCAAAGCCTCAAACTCTTGATTCATGGCTGACTGCCATGCAGGGCTTACAACTGCCTCTTCAAATGAACTAGGTTCACATTCATGTAAAAAAAATTCTTACCAATTGCTGACTAACAGAACATAACACATTAAGAGAGATATACTGTGCATTGGGTACATAAGTGGCAAAAGAAAGAGAAGAGTTACTGTCATTTGAGAAATTAGTCTGTGGAGAAGATTGATGTTGTGGGTCATGTAACTTAGGAAGAGAGTAGTTATAGTCTTTTAGGTATGTGGGAATTTTGTGTGTTCTAGAAGGTCTAATTTGTGTAGGGCCTAAATGAAGTTCTTGTTGGCCTGCATTGCTTGGAATATCTGTATTGGATGAAGATTCTTGGTATTCATTGTTAGGTGACAAGTGTTCACTGTGGTTGAACTCTGTGAACTGTGTCCTGTTAGAGCTGGACTATGGTGAAAACTGCATATGTGAAGGTTCAGGTGACACTGTATTGTTATATTGGCTTGATGGGTTTGAACCTGTTTCTATGGGAGGAAAGAAATCAGATGCTAAGTCTGTATTGACTTGAGGGAATGAAGGAAAAACTTTGTTTGACTTAGAAAGCAAGGTGACAGGAAAGACATCCTCATGGAAGACTACATTTCTTGAAATATGGATCCTCTTTGTGACTAGGTTTAACACCTCGTAGCCCTTTGTCCCAAAGGGGTACCCCACAAACACATGAGGCAAAGTTCTAGCCTCAAACTTGTCCCTATGAGTCTTTAAGTGTGGTAGGGAAACATTGGCAACCAAAACTCTTGAGATGTGAATAGGAGGGATTTTTCTTATAGAGTAGTTCAAGAGGACATTTGCCTTTGAGAGAAGAAGAAGGTAATCTATTTATTATGTAGGTGGAGGTAAGAATCCACTCTCCCCAATATTGTATGGGTAGTTTTGATTGATACAGCAATGCTCTTGCTGTTTCTAGCAAATACTTATGTTTTCTCTCCACTACCCCATTTTGTTGGGGTGTGTATGGACAGGTTATTTGGTGAGTAACTCCCCAAGATTTAAAGAAAGAGGTAGCTTCTAAATTGATAAACTCAGTCCCATTATCTGTTCTTATAGTTTTGACAGAGGTGTTAAACTGAGTTTTCACCATAGCAAAGAAAGCTTTTATGGTTTGTAGAGCATTGCTTTTGCAGCTCAACAGATGTGTCCATGTACACCTACTGTAATCATCTATAAAGGTGATGAATTACTTGTGTCTATCATGAGCTGTAATGTGATATGGTCCCCACAAATCAACATGTAATATTTCAAAGATTTTGGTTGTAAGAGTGGTTCTTTCTGGGAAAGGTAGTCTGCTTTGTCTGGACATTGGACATATAGGGCAAAGAAAAGGTTGTGTAGGTGTAAACTTGACAGGTATCTCATTGATTCCCTTCATCTTGGCAAAGGGGACATGTCCTAGTCTATTGTGCCACAAAATTCAACCATGTTTCCATTAGATGCAGATGTGAAAGTAGAGACAGAGGTAGATGTATTTGACAAAGAAATATTTTCTTTACTACTTAAGGGTGAAATATTAACACTGGAGTATTTATGTGAATCAACACACCTCTTATTACAAGCATGATATGAAACAGGCAAACTAGATGCAACGGGAGGAACAAGATATGAATGAGGGTGTACATTATTCTTATCAGGTATATAGATGAAACTTGAGTAGGAATTTGAGTAGGGATTGCAACATTCTTGCAGAGTTCTGAAATTTGATAGTATAGGCCATCAGAAGCCTTACCAATCTCCAGAGTCCTCTTCAGTGAAGGGGCCTGCAGAAGAATACATGAAAATTTGGTAAAGATATTAAGTTGAATTTGAAACTGGGTACAAAAAGAACTCTTTTGAGGGGTGAATTTAGGACTCAAAACCACATCACCTACTAGTGTCACCTTCACTTTATATCCATCAGGCAGTGTAACTAGAAAAGGACAAACTAAGGTTTTGATATTACTTAGAATGGATTTGTTGTATGTCATGTGATTTGTGGCCCCGGAATCAAGTATCCAAGAGTCAGCATTTGGTTTAAAACATTCATATGAATGAACACTAGAATCAAGAGAAGTAGAGCAAGCTGAAATACCTGCAAAATTTACTGCTCCAGCCTTCATCTCAGAACTGTCTTCTGCACTTCCAGTCTGAAAGTTTTCTAGAATGCTGATTAGTTAATTATACTGCTCTTTGGTAAAGTTTTTCATCACTCGTCCTTCTTCTTTAGTCTGTGGCCTTTCCCCATCTCCTATGCCAGCAACCTTGTCACCATAATCTCCAAACACATTTGCAGCTACTCGTTTTCCCTTATTGAACTTAGAGTCTTGTGGGTAACCATGGAGCTTGTAGCACCTATCATTGGTGTGCCCTGGCTTCTTGCAATAGTCACAGACTGGACGTGGTCTATTTGTAGGATAATTTCCCCTGAAGCTATTGCCCTCAGTCCCACTTGACTGGTTGTAGTTTGTGTAGGAGCTCCCTCCAGATCCATTTCCTTGTTGACTATAACTGGTTCTGAAGTTGTTGTTTGCTGCCCTGTTCACACTCAAAGCACTAGAGTCAATCATCAATTGATTATTTGGTTTCATCTCCCTTTGTTTCTCCTCTTGGATGAGAATCGCAAATGCTTGTGCTAAGGAAGGTAAGGGGTTCATCATCAGAATGCTTCCCCTGACAGCAGTGTAAACTTCATTTAATCCCATTAGAAACTGAATTAACCTCCTGTCCTGCTCAGCCTTGTGCCTGCTCGCCTTGGCACCACATGTACACTGGCATTTGCATTGAGCATGGGTATTCAAGGTATTCAACTCTTCCCACAGCTTCTTCATCTTAGTATAGTATCCAGTAATGTCGAGTGTTCCTTGACTCAAATCATTGATTTCTTTCTGCAATTGATATAGTTTTGATTGGTTTGATCATATCTGTCCTCCAACTATTGCCAAAGCTCTTTGGCATTGTTTACATACTGCAGGCTATCTGCTAGGTCCTTTAATAGAGAATTCAAAATCCATGAAGTCACTACATTATCACACAGTTCCCATTGCTCAAAAGTAGGATCCTTTGAGTCTGGTTTCCCACACTTACCATTTATGAAACCTACTTTGTTTTTCATAGAAAGAGCTCTAAGTACTCGTCGCCTCCATGACCTGTACCCCGATCCATCAAAGGCTACTGGTACAAGCATGGAACCTGCGTTTTCGGATGGATGCATGTAAAACGGATTAGTTGAATCAAGTAGCAGATTAGTGGAATCCGATGTGTTTTCCTCAATCGCCATGATTTTAATCGATGAGTATACGCAGATGAAGCTCAATCACTTGATTTCTATGTCGATCTCAACTTTAGGGCTGACCTCAGACCTCAAAATGAAACAACGCTGAACATTGATTTTTCTGGACTAAAAATGAAATTGAGCTAGAGATTAGGACCCCCGCTCTGATACCATGACAAAATCACAAATGAAAGAGATGAAATCGAGCTCAGACGAGCTCCAATGGTGGAAGATCAGAACCTTAGTTAAAAGAGAAGAAAGAGATAAGAAGCTTCGAGAAATCTATGAAGCATAATTGGGAAAAATGTAAATGAATAGTCCATCTTACAAAAATATCCAAGCACTCTATATATACACGTGACTCTCTCACTCACTCACTTGATAGCTGTCTACTAACTCTAATAACAACGCCACTAACTAATAACAACTAACAGCTACTAATAATACTAACTAACTGGAAAAGAACTAAGAGGAAAAGAAGAAAAGAATAAATATAAGAGATAAATGTATAACTAATCTCAATATCAAGCCCTCGTAGTTTGTTTTCTGATAAAACCTTCATCTTTGACATTACAAAATACCAAATATACATAAATAGATCACTTAAACTCTCAATTAATTTATTTTGGCTTTGTTTTTTTGGAGCGGATCAAAATATGGACAGCTCAAAAAACATATTCAATACTCCATCCATTTTAATTTATGTGAACCTGTTTGATTGGGCACGGAGTTTAAGAAAAAATTAAGACTTTTAAAATTTGTGGTCCTAAACAAGTTAAAAAGGGGTCCAGATTATTTGTGTGGTAATAAAAAATTCTCACTAAGAGTGGAATTGGAAGTTTAAGCTAAATTGTTTTCAAATTTAGAAAAGGATCATTCTTTTTGGAACGGACCAAAACGGAAATAGGTTCACAAAAAGTGAAACGGAGGAGTACTTTTTAAACCTGATTAAGACACACCTTAGGTCAATAATTTTCAACCATAAAAAAGGGGGACCTAAAGGTCGTACTTGATCAACACGGTCGAATACACCAAACATTTTGTGTTAATGCATTGCCGAAATAGAACTAAGAGTAAAAATTAGAAATTGAGAACCTTTTTAGTTTTTTCCCTTAAATAACATAAACATTGTTAGAGACAAAGGGTAGAAAAGAAAGAACCAAAAAAGGAACAATAAAGCAGGAGGTAAGATAGAAACTCAGAGACGGAGACTAAGAGGAAGAAAAATTTAACAAAAATGAAGGAAAAAAAGAAGATGTGATGGAAAGAACGAGAGAAGAAGATGATCCGGAAGAGGAGAGAAAGAGATTTGCCAAGTGGGACCTTTGCAAAATACTTGTCAAGCATAGAATATGCCCTTAGGGTATGTTTGGACAGCCACCTGATAATTGGAATTGGTGTAATTACTAGGGTAGTAATTACACAACCTAGTAATTACATAGTTATGTAATTACGACGACCTGTTTGTTTATCATAGTGTAATTACAGTGTAATTACAAGTTTACTGTTTGGTTGCACAAATGTAATTACATAGTCAAATTAAATTTTAAATGAAGTAATTATCAAAATTTAAAAGTTAATATAATAAATATATGCCTATAAATTTTATAAGTATAAATGATAATATATTTGGTATTTAAGATATATATTTTTTCGTGAATATGCATTAATTAGTAATCATATATTTATAACTAATATTGTATAAGTAATTTATATATATATTTCAAATTAATAATATTTAGTTTAGATACTTACATAAACTAAAAACATACGTTTTGTAAGAACATCATGGAATTTATGTTTGGTAAAATAAATTAATATTTATAAATATAATATCATAANAAATCCAAAAAATATGTCAAATTCCAACATAATAATAGTAAGTTCCACTACAACTTAAGATTAGGAAACACAATAAGTTTATAACCACATTCAACAACGAAATTTCACTTTAATTGCATCACTCATTGTATGCCAAGTTTGTTAATGACTCATTATTTCTAATATTAGGAGGTGTAGTTTTAAAAAGTAGAATAATAAAATAAATAAAAAATAAAATATAAGCAATTACACGGAATCACAAGAAGTAAAGGTAGAGGAATAAAAGATAAATAATGTACAAAGAAAAATATATTTTAAAATTTTAAAAGAAATTAAAAGGTAAAAATAAAATTTAAAAAGTAAAATAATTGAAATAAAAAGTTATAAAGAAGATAAATTAAAATAAAAAATAAAAAAGCAAGAAACTAAAAAGCAACCTTGTAATTACATAGTGTAATTACCACCAATTCTCACCTCCCCTTGAGAATTGGAGAGTGTAATTACACCCCACCAATTTTACACCCAATTACATACTGACCAAGTAATTACTTTTCCAAACAAACATGCCAAACTGTGTAATTACACCCAATTACACTCAAATCCAATTTCTATGTGGCTTTCCAAACATGCTCTTACATAACTTTTGTTGGTTGAGTCTCACATTAAATAAAATTTCTCAACCTACTGGGCTCAAATTTTCTTTCTTCCTAATAACGTTATTAAATTGGTAGAAGAAATATGCAGAAACTTTCTATAGAATGGTGAAAAAAGGAACCCTATTACATGGGATACACTCTGTTGAGTCCGGAACCAAAATATGGTTCTTTTATTCTAAAAGAACAAAAATGTGTGAAAAAAAATATAGTGACCAAAATATGTATAACGTCTTTTTAAAAGACGTTATACCTTAATGGACGTTTGGACAGTTAAGTATAGAGTCCTTTAAAAAGACACTATATATATAACGTCTTTCACTAAGACAATATATATATATATATATATATATATATATATATATATATATATTATGTGGGCCCATAAATAATTCTTCTGGGCATAACTGACATAATAATAATTCAACTGGGCATAGCGTCTTAAGCTAAGACGCTATACCTCAAATAATTGAACCCCCTGACTGATTTTTGCCTTATTTAAGGATTTTAAGGATTTTGTATTCTCAAGTCTTGTGAAATTTTTCTTTGTCAAGTTGTTTTGTATTTTGTCATAATGTCTGAAGAGTGAAGAATTAGGGTTTCATTATATTGGGGGAGGGAGGGGGGTTGAGGTTGTGGTGACGAATAACTCAGTAAGCTATAGTTTATCTCCACAGTCTCATGTTAAGTTGTCACTTACAATAGAGTATGATACATTGGTATCCTTGCTATGTAAAAAAATGAGTGTGAGCAAATGTTCGGTGAATCTTAAAATAACCGGAAGATATCTGTATTCTGTGACTCCGCAAGGGGTTGCTTGTTATGATGAGTTTAACATCGAAGACGATGAAACTCTGAGAGATTTTTTGAGGACTCCGGATGAATACCGGGAATTTATTGTGATAAAACTGTTGGAAATGTACGTCAAGGCTGAAGACGTTCGCAATAATGAGGTTGCGCAAAGTAGGGAAATCCCTCAATCATCGGGTGGTTATTTTGGAGCAGTTTTAGCCGAACAGGTTCCAGCTGAAAGATTTTGGCCGGATCTAAACTTATCTCAACGGGCGAATGAGGAGCGAGGAAATAATTTCTCCCCTAGTATACAAAATCAACAAGTCGAGTGGTAAACTTCAATTTTCCTTTGTGTTACGATGTATATTTTTGTGTATTGTATTTGTATTAAATATTCCACAGGGGGTACCAACCAAATATGAATTTTACAAGTTATGAACAAACGACCAGTTGGAATATGCCTAGTTTTGATGGTTTTGTGCATTGCCGGTTGGTAATATCCATAGACGACACTAATGTCTATGGAAAGTATGATATTAAGTGTTTGATCGCCGTTGCAGTAGATTGTTCCCCTAGCTTTTGCTATATGTGCCAATGAAAGCCAAGAGATGTGGACGCTATTTTTGAACCACTTGAATGAGCACGTTGTCAAACAACGTAAAGGTATTTGTCTAATATCTGATTGGCATGGCGGTATTTTAAGTTCTGTACAACATTTGCATGCATAGCCGGAACCATATGCATACCACCGTTACTGTGTGAGGAACATGAAGGCCAATTTCCAGAAGGCACATCCCAACAAGGACTTGCATGATTTAATGTGATTGGCTGCAAATGATCACCAAGAGTGTAAATTCAGGAGGCGCATGGAATCGATCAGGCAGGAAGACGAAAAAGCCTATCATTGGTTGATGCGACATGAGCTTGACAAGGGGACATTGCATGCGGATGGTGGCAGACGATGGGGAACCTTGACTACAAATGTGTCAGAGTCTTTCAACGGGTTAGTGAAGTCTGCACTTGGATTGCCTGTCACTGCCATCGTGCGGATATCATTCAAATAGATGGCGGAGAGGTTTGTTGAAAGGTCTAGAGGTGCATCGTCATTAGCAGAGAGGGGTGTTGAATTTATGCCAATATCAATAAAAAGATTTGAGAAATACAGGAGGCGAGCACATTGGCATTCATTTTTTATAGTATTGCAACGAGCGAAATATTTTTGAAGTTTGTACCACTATCCATCAAAATCGGGGGAATAATACACAAACCGTAAATGAAGCCAGAAGGTTGT